AATGAGCACACAAGTTTCCATAATCTATGGGATACTGCAAAAGCAGTTATAAGAGGGAAGTTCATAGCAATTAATGTGCACAAGAAAAAAGATGGAAAGGTGGAAAATAGATAACATCATGGGTCAGGGAATTAGAAAAGAACAATAAAAAAGTCCAAAAAATGCCAGGAGAAAAGAAATAATAAAGATTTGAACAGAAATAAATGAAGTAAAAAATAAGCAAACTATACAGAAAATAAATGAAAGCAAAAGCTAGTTCTTTGAAAAGATAAACAAGATTGTCACACCATTAGCCAGACTAATTAAGAAGAGAGAAAGGAATCAGATACGTCAAATCCACAATGAATCAGGGAACATTACAACAGACACAACAGAAATATAAAACATCATTAGAAGATACTATGAGCAACTCTATGCCAACAAAGAAGAAAATGTGAATGAGATGGAAAAATTCCTGGACACATAAAATCTACCAAGATTGACTGAGGAAGATGTAGAAAGCCTGAATATACCTATAACAATCAACGAGATTGAATCAGTAATAAATAACCTCCCAACAAAGAAACGTCCAGGCCCCTATGGCTTCACTGCGAATTTTACAGAACTTTTAAAGAAGAGGTAACCCCCATTCTACTCACACTGTTTCTAGAGATCCAATAAGAAGGAACCCTTCCAAATTCATTCCATGAAGCCTCCATAACTCTCATTCCCAAAATGGATAAGGCTACAACAAAAAAGGAAAACTATAGACCTACATCCTTGATGAATATAGATGCAAAAATTCTCAGCAAGATACTTGCTAACTGTATTCAACAGCATATAAAAAAAGTTATTCATCATGACCAAGTAGGCTTTATTCCAGGGATGTAAGAGTGGTTCAACATATCCAAAACCATAAATGTAATACACCATATTAACAGAAAGAAAGGTAAAAACCATATAATCATTTCGATCAATGAGGAAAAAGCATTCGACAAAATACAACATGCTTTTGTGATCATGACTCTCAGTAAAATTGGCATAGAAGGACCATTTCTCGGGACCAGCAGTTAGAGTAATGGCTATGCCGCTGGACTCCCACGTGGATAAATAACAAGCAGACTAAGGTAGAACTGAAGAATGTAATCCCATTTACAACAGCTACAAAAAGTATAAGATACCTAGGAATAAATCTAACCCACGAAGTCAAAGACCTCTTCAAGGAAAACTATGAAAAAAATTGAAAATGATACAAAAGTGGAAGGACATCCTATGTTCCTGGATTAGAAGGATGAACACAATCAAAATGGCAATTATACCCAAATTAATCTACACACTTAATATGATCCCAATCAAATTATCAGAGACATTTTCCATAGATTTAAAAAAGACAATCATAGAATTTATCTGGAATCATAAAAGACTCTATTGTCAAAGCAATCCTGTGAAAGAGTGGAGTACAAATATCTCACTCTCTGATCACAAAATATATTACAAAGCTGTGATAATGAAAACAGCATAATATTGACATAAAAAACAGACATGTGGATCAATGGAACAGAATAGAGACTCAAGAAATAAATCCCAAAACATACAGCCAACTCATCTTTGACAAAGAGTACCAGTCAATCTAGTGGGAAAAGGGAAACATCTTTAGCAAATGGTGGTGGAAAAACTGGGTATCCATCTGTACAAAGATGAATCTGAACCCCTGTCACTAGTAACAAAAATCAAATCAAAGTAAATCAAAGATCTAAAACTAAGACCACAAACTATAAAACTACTGGTGGAAAACACTGGGGAAACTCTAGGAGACACTGGAGCAGGCAAAGACTTCTTAAGCAAGACCCACAAAGCACAGGCAATAATCCTCAAAATAGACAAGTGGGATTATATCAGATTAAGGAGTTTCTGCACAGTAAAGGACACCATAATTAGTGTGAATTGATAATCCTCAGAATGGGAGAGAATTTTTGTTAACTGTGCCTCAGATAAGGGACTGATAACTAGAATACATAGGGAACTCAAGTAGCTTACCCAGAAGAAAATGACTAACCCAATCAAATGATGGGAAAATAAGCTGAATAAACAACTCTCTAAGGAAGACATATGGACAGCCAAAAAGTATATGAAAAAATGCTCAACATCCCTCATTATAAGGGAGATGAGATCAAAACCACAATGAGATACCACCTAACCCCAGTCAGAATGGCAAAGGTTATAAAAACAAACAATGATAAGTGCTGGAAGGGATGTGGTAAAAGGTTGACACTCCTACACTGTTGGTGGGAATGTAAATTGGTCCAGGGCTGTGGAGAACAATATAGAGGTTCCTCAAAGACATTCAAATAGAACTACCATATGATCCAGCAATTCCACTCCTGGGTACCTACCCAAAGGACAGGAGAGCACTCAGTCAGGAAAGCACTTGCACGACTATTTTCATTACAGCATTATTCAAGATTGCTAAGACATAGAACCAACCCAAATGTCCACAAACAGATGAATGGATTGAAAAATTATGGCACATATACTCCATAGAATATTATTAACCCATAAAAAACAATAAGGCCCTAGAATTTGCTAAAAAAGTGGATGAATATGGATGATTTGTTGCTGAGTGAGGCAAGTCAGGCTATGAAAGAGAGACATTGTATGTTTCCACTTAACATATACCGACCGTCCGCACTCTATGGTACAGACTGAAAGACTGGAGAACATAAAAGCATTAAAAATTGTAATGGACAGTAGAGACAAAGTGGAAAGAGAGTGTGGGAGGGGAAGAGAACAGGAAAGGAAATTTGGGGGAAAATGGAGAGGTAAGACACTTTTGGGACACAGATAAAGTTTTTTATCTGTTGACGAGGATGTTTATAATAGTCTCAACTGGGCTGGACTGAGGTGTATAACATGCTGGGTAAAGTCTCTTCACAATCTAAATTACGTATAGCAATCTAATGTATAAATAATCATTTTAATAATTAATTAAAAAATTGAATTGGTAAAGATCATGTGCATCTTGTAGAATAACATATAATTTATAGTTGAGTTAAAAAAGAAACTTTATATAAATAGACTTTTAAAGCATTGGACCATGAAAAAGTGAACAGGTAGGACAGTAGCTGAAGTTGAGGAATGTTTTGCTTAGGGTGCATATGACTCAAATACATAGCACCGTAGTTGCAATCTTGTGAATTGAGATTGGACGAGAAAATCACAAACCTCTTACCTAAAATCATCAGAAAAAAGAAAAAGTTCTGGAAATTCTTATTCCCTTTGTAGGACTGTACAATTACTTACCCAATTGAGGAGCAAATATCTTACCAAATTTGAAGGTCTCATACACACACACACATACACACAACGAAACGAAACAAAACAAAACAACAACAAAAAAGTTATTTCACTATTAGTAATCTCCCATCAAGACATATATGCTTCTAAGATTTTATAAAATAGGCTGTACTCTCTCTTTCATTGATTTGTGCCCTAATGGGGTGGGGGAGGTCACAATTCTTTATGACTGTCTTAGATTTCTATCTGTTCAAACTCTTTTCTTCTCATCAGAATACCTTTCAAAGCTTGGGAGCTAGAAATAATCTAGCCCAAAATACTTCTTTCAACAATATAAAAGAAGTAATATAATCCAAATATTAAACTATGGAAGAAAACAGGATTATTTAGTTTAAAAGAGTAATAATGTTATATTTAAAAAGGGAACAAGGAAAGCAGGTTTACCTCATTGGTTTCTTTGGTGTAAATATCAGATTGAAGACCAAAAATATTGCTTCACTCTTGACATTACAAGATTTTTGTACCAAATATACAGCCACAGAGGATTCCAAGTTAGATTTCACAGCTTCAGAAGTAAATTCAATTTCATATTGGAATTTGCGTTTTTTAGGGAGTTCTAAGAAAATCAAAATTAAAATATATTTTAATTTAATATGCATAGGCTGAACAACAATCATATATCAACACTAGTAATACACAGGTACTTTCAGGAAGGGAGAGGATATATGTTATTTAGCGTTCATACTGTTTAGTGCATTACCAGGTATATAATAATACTCAGTATATTTTTGTTAAAAAGTAAATAAAGGGCCAGTAGGTAGAATGATAGATGAGGCACTGGAGCCACATAGCTAAGTGGTTTGAGTCCCAGACCTAGTGGCTTGAAAAACATACCAGGCACATGTACGTGCATGCCAAAATCTCAAGAGGAGAATGGAGAAGGGATTGAAGAGTGGCTGTCCCCCTGGGGATGCTTTTTCACTTTCCCTCCTTTGTCTCTCTTTCTCTCTCAGGCAAGCACATATGCCCTATGGTAAAAATCTAAAAAGACAAAAAACAAAAAACAGAGGTAAATAAATGTTTATTCCAGAAGGCAAAGAAAGACAGGTAAAGACAAAAAAATAAATAAATAAATCTCTTTCAGTCTGGACCCAAATCACATGATGAACTTTCCACTGGACCCAGGCTTTGCTGTGCACTTTCTGCCAGACACAGATGCACCACTTGTTGATGCTCATGTTATCCGCTGGTGCCTGCTACACCTGGACTGCACTGCCTGCCCAACATGCTGAGGCTACTACTTCATGACTCACTATCCCCCCACTACCCACTCTGCCCACCCCTCCAGCTGCATCTGGACCAGAAAGGGTGGGATAAGTCAGGGGAACATGGCCGTTAAGAGGAAGGCCTATTGTCCTAACTTCAGTAGCTTGTAGGTATCCAGGCTGAGTTAACTGCCTGAGAATAGCTCCAGCAGAGAGTACTCAGGCCAGACCTTTGGGAGTAAGAGAGATCAGCAGGAACTTCCACATTTCATGGATTTTACTTGCAAAAGAGGACAGGAGCCAACTGCCTGAAGCTGGTGAGGCTCTGGAGGAAACCCTCCCCACCCACCCCAATTTCCCTTCTGGAGTAGCAAAAACAAGAGAAACTCTCCTCTGAAAGCCCAGATCTTAGACAACCTCTGTGGATTCCAGCAATCTCACCCATAGAAGAATAAGGAAACATGCATATAGGTAGCACATTGTAGGGAAGCAGAAAAACAAGCAACCCCAGGAAAAAAAAAAAAAGAAAATTTGGACCTCTCACCTCATTCCCACCGCAAGCTAGCAAAAGAGGAACCCTTCCTTACAGCACAATGAGCATGAGGAGCTCCATCTACAATCAAGTTTCCACATCCTGCAGGGAGCACAGGACTCAAAAGAGAGAACCTTCATCCTAATAAAGGGTGAGGAATTTGAACATTACTCCCTGTTTGGCAGAGAAGACAGGCCTGCACTCTTTCTCCCATCGATCTCAAGTCCAGAGAAATGATTGAAATAATAGATGCCACTCACAACACAGCACCTCTAAAGCTCACTGAACTGTATTACATATAGGCTACACAAGCCCTGTTCTGATCGGGAAGATGTGGCCATCTGCCAGGGACACATCTGGGACCCAGGGCTATTCTTTGCCTCAGCACTATGGAACCTACCTCCCAAACAATGAAAAAGTGAGTACTATCACCAGATGCCTAAAAACCAGGGCAGAGCTGCAAGAACTATGAGAAAACAAGGAAATATCTCTCCCTTAAAGGAACACAACTCTTCACCAACAATAATAAAAATTCACAGAAGAGTCATAAAAAGAATTCAGAATAATCATTATGACAAAACTCAGTGAGATGCAGGAGAAAATGGACAATCAATTCCAGGAGATGAGAAGAGAATTCAATGACTTGAAAGAGAAATTATGTAAAGAGATAGGTACCTTAAGAAGAATCAAGCAGAACTTCTAAGATGAAAAATACAATATAAGAAATCAAAATCTCCCTCAAAAGCATTAAAAGCAGATTATATCAGGCAGAAGAAAGAATCCAAGACCTGGAAGACAAAGCCTCTTAACCGGAGCAAACCACCAAAAAGAATGAAAACAATACCACCCCCCCCCAAAAAAACGAACATAGACAAGGAAAAACTGCACACTATTAAATGCCCAAATATTCTTATAATGAGTATTCTAAACGGCAAAGATACTAGTAAAGGCATAGAAAATCTCCTATCAAATACTCTCTGAAAACATTCCAAATCTACAAAAATACACAGGCATCCAGATCCAGGAAATACAAAATACAGAATCAACAGAATATCCTCGCCAAGGAATATCATAGCTGGATTGGTAAAAATCAAAGATGATATTCGAAAAATGGTTGTTCTATTAGACTAACATCAGAGCTCTTAACTGAAATAATGCAGGTAAGAAAAAAATGACAAGGCATATTTCAACACTAGAAGCTTATACTTCAACTGGGAAGAAGAAAAAAAATCATTTTCAGATAAACAAAAACAAAGAATTCACCAATACTAGACTAGCTCTTCAAGAAGTACTGAAGGGAATATCATATCAGGGAACTGAAAGGGAGACAAATAGAAATAAGAGGACACAAAACAAATGAGAGAAAGACTAACAAAAAGCAGGGTAAGTCTACAATATCAATAATGATGTTGAATGTTAATGGATTAAATTCTCCAACTAAAATACATGGACTGACAGAATGGATATAAAAACAGGAGCCTTCTATAAGCTGCTTATACAAGAAACACATCTCACCGATAAAGACATACATAGACTGAAAGTGAAGGACTAGAAAAAATGTTTCATGCAAATTGAAACCCAAAGAAAAAAAAAGTTGGAGTTGTGACACTGATTTTAAAAAATAGATTTCAAGACAAAGCCATAAGAGAAAAAGAAAGACACAATGTAGCATTAAAATGGCCCATTCACCAAGAAGATATAACACTTATAAATAAGCACCAAATACTGGAGCACTCAAATACATGAAAGATTGCTAGATCTACAGGGAGAGATAGACTGCAATACACTAGTCATTGAGAATTTCAACAACCCACTGTCACCTCTGGACAGATCATTTAGGCAAGAAAATAAACAAAGACACACAGGAACTAAATAATACCATAAACCAAATGGACTTGATAGATATTTATAGAACATTTCACCAACAACCACAAAATCCCCTTTGTTCTCATCCCCACATGGAACATTTTTGAAGATTGACCACATAATAGGGCAAAAAGAAAAATAAGCCTCTACAAATAGGGAATTATAGAAATTATATCCAGCATCTTTTCAAAACACAATGAAATTAAACTTAAAATCAACTACAGAAAGAGCCCTCGAAAATACATAAGTACATAGAAATTAGAATATCTGCTCCTAAATAACTTCACAACTGCTGAAAACATTAAGACTGAAATCAAAAGATTTATTGAAATCAATGAGAATGATCAAATATCTTCCCAGAACCTTTGAGACACAGCAAAACATATGATTTACCTAGATTGAACCAGAAAGAAATAGAAAGCCTCAAGAGACCAATAATAGGCAATGAAATTGAATCATTAATAGTCACCCTGCAAAGAAAACCCCAGGTCCCAATGGCTTTACTTCTGAATTCTACAAAACTTTTAAAAAAGAGCTAATCATAATTTTCTTCAATCTATTTCTAAAGATTCAAAAAGAAAGGAAGGTACCCTCCCAAATTCCTTCAATGAAGCCTCTATCATGATGATCCCAAAAGCTGACAAAAACACAATAAAAAAGAAAATTACAGACCAATATCCCTGATGAATACTGACACAAAAATTCTCAACAGGATACTAGCAAATTAAATCCAACAACAAATTAAATAGATTATCTATCATGATCAGGTACCTTTATCCCACAGATGCAAGGGTGGTTCAACATATGCAAATACAGCACATCAACAAAAACCATATGATCATATCAACCGATGCAGAAGTATTTGATAAAATGCAACATCCCTTCATGATCAAGATTCTCAGCACAATTGGTATAGAAGGGACATTTCTCAATCCATTAAAAGTCATACATGACAAACTCGTAGCTAATATCATACCAAATGGGGCAAACCTGAAAGCTTTATCTTTAAAAACTGGAACGAGACAAAGCTGTCCACTTTCCTCTCTCCTTTTCAGCATAGTACTGGAGGGCCTAGCCAATGAAATCAGAGAATAGAGTAAAATAAATGCCATTCAAATAAGAAAAGAAGGAAAAGAAGTAAAATTGTCCTATTTGCCGATGACATGATTAGAAAATCTGGAAGAATCCATGACAAAACTTCTGGAAGTGATAAATGAATTCAGTAAAGTCGCAGGATACAAAATAGATATACAAAAATCTATAGTGTTTTTGTACACCAACAATGAACAGAATTGAAGAAAGCAATCCCTTAACCACTAGCCAAAAAAAAGAAAAATAAAAGCACTTAGGCTAAATCTAACCAAAGAGGTGAAAGACCTCTATAAGGAAAACTATAAATTGAAAAATAAATAGAAATTTATACAAAAATAATGGAAAGACATCCCTTGTTCTTGGATCAGAAGAATAAATATAATCAAAATGTCAATTATACACAAATTAATTTACGAATTCAATGCAGTTCTTGTAAAATTACAGAAATAGAAGAAAAAGTAATAAAATTCACCTGGAATTATAAAAGACCCCCACACTGGCAAAACTGTACTAAAAAAATAAAGTAGGAGGCATTTACTACCTGAATTCAAAATATGATGAAACCGTGATATTCAAAATAGCATGGTGCTGGTACAAATCGGACACATAGACCAATGCAACAAAATATGTCTGCATTCTATGGTAGGAATTAAAAGATTTGAAGACAAAATAATAGAAAGGA